ACGCTCTTGAAGAAGTCTTTTCCACGGGAAAACGCATGGAGATCTTCCAAGAGGAGGTTCTTGATGTGGGTTTCAATGGCGAGAGTGTGGAAGGTCGTGTGGTGTTCGAAAATGGCGGCTTCCCATTTGGACCGGTCTTGGTTGTAAGTGTAGATCTTGAGATTCTCTCGTTTAGTCATGATGTCCCTTGCTAGTTTCGCCAAGTGAGGTAAGTACTCGTTCATGATCTTGTCGCGGTACTCTTTCTTACACGTTAGATGAAAGTACCAGTCATATATTGGAAGAACACATCAGTTGCTCACCTTCGTTTTCTGTCATTTTCTCACACTTTCCTTTTAACCAAACAAGTTTCTCGGCCGCAAATCTCAAAACCCAAGCACCAAAAACTTAAACGATCGTTTGTTGGGTCTTAAAGAGACGAGCTTTGGAAAGAAAAAGAAAAGCCGGTTTTTAATTATGTGAAGGAACAATATTTGTTCTCTGACATTTTCTCTCATTTTCCATCCATCCAGTCGAGTTTTTCTTGCCATTTTCTCATAGTTTCCATCCAACCAAACAAGTTCTCAATCTCAAATCTCAAAACCCAAACATTCAGGTTTCAACTTTCGAGGGCGTACCTTTTCTCGGGGAGGAATTTCTTGCTCTCCACCGAATGCAGAGTCCATTCCAGTCGAATCCCTTCGAACTTGTCCACGATCTTGGTGTCGACGGGTATTCCGAGCTTCGGAGGAGAAGCCGGATTCTTAAGATAGCTTGAACCTACCAGAAGTTTTCCCGTAGAAAGTCCGGCGAAACGCGTCGGCAAGTAAACTTCCGCCACACGGAAAGTCTGGTTCTCGACGAACTCCCACCTCTGCTCGATTACGAAAGTGAAATTCGACTGGAAATACGAGGAGAAGACATCCATGAGCTTCGTCGCGATGTATTCTCTGATTCTCTTGGGGACGATCTCGTTCAAGATCGTTCGGAGAAGCATCGTAATGGCGGTGAAAGACGAGTACAGAGAGAAGATTGAAGACACCGAAGGAACTTGGTTGTATAAAGATGCCATCTTGTTTTTTCCTCCTTTTTTCACCTTTTTTTTTTCTGTAATAAAATGAATGCGTTTCGACGAAGACGAAGATGAAGAGTTTAGGGAAACAGAGTGAATCTATATATAAGCCAGAAAATTTCACTTTCTCGGGAAAATGAGGCGAGTGTGAGGAACCTACTCGCGTGGATGAAAATGAGAATTTTGTTGTCTGACAAAATTCGCTGAGTCCGTAACCGCTAGAGAGAATGCATTCCTGGGCCGTCAAGATCGTACAAACGACGCGTCCGTGTACAGTAGTCATTTCGATTTTCGGTTCGGTTATTTCGGTTACAAAGAAATCATACCCAAACGGTTATACAAAGAAATCATATATATATATAAAATCAAAAGCAAAATGGAGTCTTGGGCCGCCAAATCTCTTTCATTTGCGGCTAGACTACAACTGCTAAGCTCGGTGATCTCGGGAATAATAAGCTATTGGTGCAATGCTTTTGTACTCCCTAAACGCACCATAAAGCAAATCAACTCTATATGTTCTGCTTTCTTTGCGGAAAGGAAAGGCCGAGCCTTCTAGAGGAGCTCGAGTCGCATGGGATAAGGCTACTGCTCCGAGAAATAAGGAATGTGTATCAATGGAATGATATTGCAGCCCTTAAACTAATCTGGAGCTTATTTTTCAGAGCCGGTTCATTTAGACCTTTCGTGATTCAGGAGCAATGATTAGAGAGATCAATAAGGTTTTTTTATTCTGAATCAGGAATGTAGTTTCAAACCGATCCAAATCGAATCGAACCGAATAGTATTCGATTTTAATTTGATATATTTTTATAGAATTGAATAGACCATTCCTGAAATCGAACCGAACCCGACAAATACCAAAGCAAAATCTGAATTATCCATCAATATATGTATAAATATTATATAACAATATCATTCCGAACCGAACCGACACCAAAAGGGGAGTGAATTGAACCGTTTAACATTCGATTTTAATTCGGTACAATTTTTATTAAAAAAAACGATCTCCGAACCGCTTAAATTGCGAGGAAAAAATCGAAATGTCCAACGCTAGTAGGAAATGTTGTATAACTATTTTTTTATTTTTTTTTTTGTTAAAGGTTGTTTGTATATTCATAACTTTGGTGATTGTCTTACAAAATACCACTATAGTTGTAGTCAGATTCAATGGAAGGATTCCAGAAAAAGCAATCAGAATTCTCCAAGAGGTCATACAATCTTTCGTCGGGTTACGGTTGTGGATGAATAGCCATGCGGTAGAGGAGTGTTTTGTTGTATTCATTTAACACCATACCACCCTATTCCACGGTACCATTTGGTTGTCCCTGTATTGTACATGTGCCGCCAGATCTGCTTGGAGATGAAACGTTGCGAGGTTTGATCCTCCACTCTCCAAACTGGTTTGTCTTGTGCATTGAAGAGTGACTTTCCTGCCAGAAAAATGGTTAAGTTCAAACAGGGCCAGATCTTGATGGCGATACCTCCCAAGCCCCTGCTCAACTTTAGCATTTTTCGGTATCCCGAGGAGTCGTGGTGTCGAGTGCCCCAGATAGTCAATTAGTCTTCCGAATGGCGTCCATATGTAAAACCGTCTCCTATCGAATGGGTGAGGAATTGTTGCGCCTTCTCTCTTTGTTTCAGTAGTTTTCTGAAGCTCCATGAGTGAATAGCTTTCGGTTTTATCGTCCAAAGGCGGTCTCTTTTCATGTATTTTTTTTATCCAAACCAAATCGACCCGCTTCTGAAGAATAGTGTCCATATATATTAGCTTTAGGACTCCAATCTCATTCCAAATCTGAATGTTCCTTAGCCTCAAACCTCCTTGTGTCTTTTACCGTAGCCACTTTATCCCATGATAGTCGTGCTCCACCTGTAGAGTCAGCTGATCCCTTCCATAGAAAGCCTGAGCATAAGGTATTAATCTTCCTAATGCAGCTTTTCGATAATACAAAAACAAGGAACCAAGA